GGGGGGGTCGGAGTGGAGGTCCCCAGGGACGCAGAGGGATACGAGCGTGGCCCCGCTGGGGGACCAGGACTCACCGTGAGGCAGGTCAGCCGTCAGGTGTGGCATCATATAGCTGCGGACGAGCTCCCACCCGAAGTCATCGTCCTCGCCCTGGCTGTACTCACACTGGTTCGGGTCACCGTCCTCCTCGAAAGTGCAGCCAGCTGCGGACAGACAGACCCATCAGTCCCCGCAGAGCGACCGGTCCCTCCCCAAAAACCCCGCCAGGATGGTGTGCTGCCTCCCCCACCCCCCCAAACCATGGGGGGACCCCACGGGCACCCGTGAGCGAGGATATGGTCTTGTCTGCTGCTGCTAATCCCCCCTCTCTCCCATGCAGTTGCCCCACCAGTGAAACGAGCTGGCAGGTCTCAGCTCCCATGGAGGCCTCCGCCACGGGAGCAGGATGCAGCTCCCAGTTTGGCTTCCCAGGGGGCCAGTCACCAAACTGGGCTGGGGGAAGGTGTTCTCCCAAGAGACAGGCACTCAAATGCAGGGGTGGCAGAATGATTCGCAAGACCCCGAGGGCTCCTGCAAAACTCCTGCTTTGAGCTCAGCCCTCCGCCTGCCCACGCGTGCTTCAACCTCGAGCTCTCCGGGGGTCCATCCCATCGCCTGACATGACAGCGGCAGGTCTCAGCCACAACCCCCAACAACCTGCGGCAATCAGAGCCCTACAAATGTATCACCGACACACACACACCCCCGCTAGCAGCGGGATGGCACTTCTGAGCCCTTTCATTTATCCTTTGGGGATTTGGGGTTCTTTTTTAGACTTTGCAAAGAGCAAAGGTGAAAGCTCCGCACCACCTCCCCGGTCCACGAGGCTGAACACAGAGAATTGGAATAAATGCCAAGAAGCCACTTGTCCCGAGTACCGAGGTGACACGGAGACAGCACACTGAGATGCCAGCCGGCCCTGCATCCAGCCCTGCATCCCACAGCCAGCCCCACATCCCACACCCATCCCTGCATCCTGCATCCATCCTTTAACCCCCCAGCCAGCCCCGCATCCTGCTCTGCATCCCGCACCCAGCCCTGCATCCTGCAGCCAGCCCCGCATCCTGCTCTGCATCCCGCACCCAGCCCTGCATCCTGCAGCCAGCCCCGCATCCTGCTCTGCATCCCGCACCCAGCCCTGCATCCTGCAGCCAGCCCCGCATCCTGCTCTGCATCCCGCACCCAGCCCTGCATCCTGCAGCCAGCCCCGCATCCTGCTCTGCATCCCGCACCCAGCCCTGCATCCTGCAGCCAGCCCCGCATCCTGCTCTGCATCCCGCACCCAGCCCTGCATCCAGCCCAGCATCCTGAAGCCAGCCCTGCATCCCGCACCCATCCCTGCATCCTGCAGCCAGCCCCACATCCCGTATCTATCCCTGAGCCGGCCCTGCATCCAGCCCTGCATCCCACAGCCAGCCCCACATCCCACACCCATCCCTGCATCCTGCATCCATCCCTGCATCCCACAGCCAGCCCCACATCCCACACCCATTCCTGCATCCTGCATCCATCCCTGCATCTCACAGCCAGCCCCGCATCCTGCACCCAGCCCCGCATCCCGCACCCAGCTCTGCATCCAGCCCTGCATCCCACAGCCAGCCCCACATCCCGCAACCAACTCTGCATCCCGCACCCAGCCCTGCATCCAGCCCTGCATCACACAGCCAGCCCCGCATCCTGCACCCATCCCTGCATCCTGCATCCATCCTTGAATCCCACAGCCAGCCCCGCATCCTGCTCTGCATCCCGCACCCAGCCCTGCATCCAGCCCAGCATCCTGAAGCCAGCCCTGCATCCCGCACCCATCCCTGCATCCTGCAGCCAGCCCCACATCCCGTATCTATCCCTGCATCCCGCATCCAGCTCTGCATCCCGCAACCAACTCTGCATCCCGCACCCAGCCCTGCATCCAGCCCTGCATCACACAGCCAGCCCCGCATCCTGCACCCATCCCTGCATCCTGCATCCATCCTTGAATCCCACAGCCAGCCCCGCATCCTGCTCTGCATCCCGCACCCAGCCCTTTATCCCTCCCTGCATCCCACAGCCAACCCCGCATCCCGTATCCATTCCTGCATCCCACACCCAGCCCCACACCCAGCCCCACATCCCACAGCCAGCCAAAGCCCGAGGCTCTGGGGCTGGCTTCACCCATGGGGGCCACTCCGGGCCAGTTCGTTAACAGTGACCTATTGTTCCATTAAACCCACAGATTACAGGCGGACCGGGGCACCAGCGCTAATTAATACGAGCCCCTGGGCTGACGAGGGCAGGCACGTTAAGAAAGCCCTGAGCAAGCAGAACGAACAAAGGCAAATATCCCCTAATGGGCCAGCGTGAAAGCAGAGCCGGGGCCGGGGGATTACTTCTTCTGGGTTTTTTCCTATTTTATCCCCAAATTACATCAGTAATTCCCGCCACCGCCCGGGGATTTGCCAGTTAATGGTCTCGCTGCTGTCGGCACAGGTTGTGCTTCCCCGTGCCAGGGGATGCTCAGACGCATCACTCGTGCAAACACAAGTCCAAACACTGGAAAAAAGCCCATAAAACGCACATAAAATTATGATTCCCAACACATTCATATATGAGAAGAGATTCGGGGCTTTTTCCCCCTTTTGCATTCATTTTTTTAACGCACCAGGACATACAAAGGTTGTTTTTTTCCCTCCCAGAACCACAAAAACCTGCTTTTTTAAAAAAAAAAAAAAAAAGAGAAGCAAATTCTCTCCTATTCATATGCCTGGAGGCACTGAGACCTCACAGCTTTCTCAAAATCCTTCCCGAAACGGAGCGTCTGCCCAGCCCACGTGCGGATGTGCCCCCGCACCGCAGACCTCGGCTCCTTCGGCTCTCACCACGAGACACACCGGATTTTAAAGCGTTCGAAACTTGGCTGTGCTTTCTAATGGAAGAAAAAGCACAAATCTGTCAAAATCTTCCAGGAAGGAAAGAAAAAAAAAAAAAAAATTTTCAAAATAAAACAAAGTGTCAGAAACTAAGTGCCAACTGATTTAAAAAAAAAAAAATAAAAAAAGCCGAAATGTTTCTTTCCAAGATCTGCTGAAAATGGGATATTCTGAGACGGAGAAATTTGTTCTTAGTGTTGGGGTTGGGGTTTTTTTTTTTGGTTTGAGAAACCAAGTGGAGGCAACAGCGTTTCAGGCTGGCAGAGCCCCATTTCCCAGGGAAAAGTCATTCCTTTACCCCCTCCGAGTAAACTATTCCCAGTGGAGGAAGACGTCACCTCCTCCTGGGCTGCATCTCCACCACCCACATCCCGCTGCCACCCCCAGCGCAGCCACCGGCACCCGCTGCTCCCGTGCCTCAGTTTCCCCACCGCTCCATCACCCCAAGGCTGCATCCTCGGCCACCTGCGAACCAATGCCCGAACTCCAGAAGCTTAAAATGCAATTACGCGGAGTAGACATTTCACTGGCGGAGGCACAGCTGGCCGAGCCGATCCGTCTCCCTCCTCGGACAGGTTTATTGTTATGGTTTTCTCCCCGCGCAAGCTTTCCCTCCCATCCGCTCCCCCCACCCCTTCCATCCACAGCAGAAGGCGGCTCGACCGGCTGCTCCATCTCGCCGACAAATTTGGCTGTGATTTGTATACACAGGTCAAAAATAAAAAGGGTTTTTGCAGAGCCCTGGTTTGTGTGAGCTATGGGATGCTTTTGGCACCATCTCTTCCCATCCAAGGGCAGGGTTGGGGAAAAGCTCAACTCCCAACCTCTTCTCCTTCCCCATCAGAAGATTAATAAGGGCATAAAAAAGAAGACCTGAGTAATTAAACGCCAACATCCCAGCTCCAGGGGAGGCGGCTGGGGGTCTCCCTCAGCAGCCGTGGCAAGTCAGAGGGGGCAAACCCACAGCGGCTCCCAAAAAGTTAATGTTTCATCAACACGTTTGCAAGGAAGGCAGGGAGACAGCCGCCCAAAATCCCTGCCGGCAGTAGAAAGGGATGGTTATACCCATCCTCAGGGCTAACGGTAGTGAGATGCGGTCTGGAGGAACCAGGTGGGACCGCTCCAGGTCCAGATGAGCCCCTAAAAATCAGCAGCCAGAAAAAAAGGAGCCCCCCAGTTCCCAGCCCCTGCGCTGGCGGGAGGCCACGATACCGGCAGCTCCGGGCGGCGGGATGATGGCAGGGAGCGCAAGAGGAGGTGCGATTCAAACTGCGATTCAAACCGCGACAGCAGCTAAAAATACTGCTGGGGGTGTGACGTGTCTGCTCCCCGGGGGCATGATGCATCCGAGACGATGCCTGAACACCCCTGAAGTCACCTAAACACCCCCAAAGCCAAAGCCTGCTCCAACACGCACCAGGCACCCGTGCCAAGGATGAGACATACCCCGTTAAGCACCCTTCACGACCCCGCCCCCGGCACCGAGGGGCGCCCAGGCAGAAGGGAGAAGAGGGGCGAGTGCTGACGTGGGGGTTAAACACCAGATGGACCAAAATTTTAAAAAAAGAAAGAAAAAAGAAAAAAAAAAAAGAGGTGGCTTGAGAGATTTGCCAGGGAGACGGGTACCGGTGCTGCTCAGCATCCTCCTTGGGTACCGCTGCCACCACCGCAGCACCAGGGTGTGCCTGAGCAGAGGGGTGAGCACTAACATGGGGGTTAAACACCAGATAGACCAAAATTTTTTAAAAAAGAAAGAAAAAAGAGGGGGCTTGAGGGATTTGCCAGGGAGATGGGTACTGCTGCTGCTCAGCATCCCTCCTGGGTACCACTGCTGTCCAGCATCCCTCCTGGGTACCGCTGCCGCTCAGCATCCCTCCTGGGTACCGCTGCCACCCAGCATACCTCCCGAGTGCCACTGCCACCCAGCATCCCTC